GGTTTAGCCGGTTAGACACCACTAATTTCACTTGAGGATTTTCAATCATCATCGCCTGATACTTAAAAAACCTTTGACTGCTGATACAAATTGAAAGGCTTTTCTAAGTTAGGCAAGGCTAAAGCTGGAGCTGCCCTAAAGGCATTCTTTTGTTCTCCCTCCCATTCAAAAGGTTCTCTATCACCTCCTTTTGTAGCTGAATAAAGAGGTGTTGATAATAGAGCAAAATTTGGTATCCATATCCTGCAAAACCCTGCCAAACTCAAAAAGCCCCTCAGTTGCCGCCTATTAAGGGGTTCAGCAATAGCTAGCATAGCTTGTTTCCTCTCCCAGCCTAAAGCCCTATGCCCCTCCTCAATCTCAGACCCCAAATACTTCACTTTCCGTCTGACTAATGCACAAAATGCTGTAAATCTTCTGCTAAGGCTGTTCCAAACAGGGTAGGTGAATTTTTAAAGCCCTGTGGCAGCCTGGTCCAGGTATACTGTGCTTTTTGCCCTGTATTTGGATTTTCCCACTCAAAAGCAAACAACGGCTGGCTATCCTTGTGAATAGGAATCGTGAAAAAAGCATCTTTCAAATCCACAACTGAAAACCACTTTGCTATGAACAAGTGTATACCTCCTTTAGGCTTCCTGATTAAAATTGTCCACACTTGATAAGAAATGCTAACCACCAAGATGTCCCCAAATGTCAATTTTAGATAAAAATGCCACTGGCTGCCTTTCCCCCCCCCCCACGCACACACTTCTGGGCCAAAACCTCCTCCAACCTTTGTCCTTGTTTATAAATAAATTACCTAGCAAAGAACCAACCAAGGAGAGCTCACCAAACCCTGTTTGCATTTATTAACACAAGCTCTTTTTCTAACAGTTTTGCATACAAATCTTTACTCAAAACAGCATAGCTATTTATAATCCCAAAATTTTTCTCAACTTCGTTCTAACTTCCCACAAAAAAATAAACAAGTTTAATAAGATATTCTGAGTTACTGAAAGTTTTTTTTTTTTCTAAACTCTAGTATTGCTTTTAATATAAAGTTAGTCAAATCCCAATTTAATCAAATTCCATTCAGATGGAAACAGATTTCCATTAAATTTCCATTAAATAGGGAAAACATTTACAAATCTAAGCAAACTCTTTTGGTTGATATTAAACAATTTAAACTCAAAAATTTCCCAAAAAAGTTGTCCAACAATTACTGACTCCTCTTTTGAATAAAAAAAATTGCAAAAGTGGGCATTAAATTTTCACAGCCACCCAACCTTTCTCAAACCTGAATTCTAAGCAGAGAAAAAGTTAAAAAGATCAACCCCCCCTTTCTCCTTTCTCTCTCTATCTCTCTCCCTCTCAAAGCAACACAGCCAGAAAAAAAAAACAGGGGGTTAGGGGTTGTGTCTGCAGATAGATTTTGAAAAGGGCATTAACACACTAACATTTGCAAAAGGGAGAGAGCAGAATGGGCAAGAAAATGGTATAGGATTTCCTGCCTGAGCAGGTAACTTTGGGCTGTTCTTAAGAGGGAGAGAAAAAAATAAATAAATAAACAAACACATCTTTCTTCACCTTGTTTGTTGGCCAGACAAACAGAGTGAGGTTATATATATATTTTTTTTTCTTTTCTCTTGAGGTTAGTAACAGTCATATTTACTTCACACACAAAGACTCTGCTTTCAAATCCACAACTGATCTTCCTGCTCCAGTATCCACCAAAAACGTTGTCTGTTTGCCCCCTATATTTAAAGTAACCAATGGCTCAGGGGGGGCTTTCTCCAAGCCAGGTCCCCGTCAATCCGACCAGTTAGTTCCTGCCAATCCCATTCCTTCAATCTCCCTATTTCTATTTTCATCTGTCACATTCCTCAAACCATCTCCTACATTCCTCAGACCATCTCTTACCATCCCTGGAGCCCCTCTCTGCCCTCTATCCATGAAGGGGGAGTGCAGGGGGGGCCCACTGCCAACACCTCCACATCCTCTGCCTTCTCTTCCTCTCCAACCTCTACCTCGCATCTGCCTTCTTGGACATTCTCTTTGCTAATGACCTCCCTCCTTGCAATTAGCACACTGGTTGGGTCCCAGCATGATCCCTCCTTGTAATGCCACCGCCAACAACTCAATTTTCTTATGCATTTTAGCATCTCTTTCCTGTTTTTCCACCTTATCCCTATTAACAAACACTTTCCTAGCCACCTCCAACAATTCTGTAGTGTTCTTTCCTAATGCTCTTTCTAACCTCTACAACTTCTTTCTTATATCTTCATAACTCTGTTCTATGAACCTCTCATTCAACATTCGCACCTTGTCTGCACTCCTTGGATCAACCTGTGTATAAAGCTCATAAGCCTCAATCAGTCTTTGCAAAAAAAAAAACTTTCCGGACTTTCATCTGCCTCCTGCATCACAAAAGACGGCTTTAACACATTCACTGAAGGCTTTCCAGCCTTGCAAAGAGCCTCTACTACTAAATTCTGATATTCCTTTAACAAAGTCATGTGTGCTGGGTTTTGTGTATTCCATTCAGGGTCCTTTTCTGGTGCCCTGGCTTCCATCTCTGGCTGTGTATCTCATACAGCCGGCAACCTATCCTTCAAACACTGCCTAACAGCAGCCTTCCCCTTCTCCCTTTCCTTGGGAGTCAACAAAATATTCAACAATTGCTCCTCTTTACTTGCTTCTCCCCTCACATTTACAGAGAGACCTTCCAAATCCCCTTCCTCCTTGGGGGCTGACAGCCTCCCCCTTTCTGTTTTCGTCTCACAGCTGGCTGCCTTTCTTCGGACACAGCAGGGGCAATCAGCCCTTCCTCCGGCAGAGCGGCTGCTGGCTCTGCCACAGCCGGCACTGGGGGAGGGAGGGGGAGAAAGGTGGAACGTAGGGAGGAGGTCTGAGAATCAACTCCTCTACCTCCATCCTTATCTCCTTCTTAGCATCTGACACCTTAGTTTCTGAAATCTTCACATCTTTCACTCTTTTAGTTTGTACTTGAAGCTTTTTTTCCTTTGGGTCTAGCCACACACAAACGAAGCATTTCAGCTTGACATTGCAATAACTCATCAGCTCGTCCTGCTACTGCATCCCCCCACTGATCTATATACTAAAATTGGTTAGGATAGTTTTCTTAAAAGTCCCCTCTGGGGGCCACCCCACACCCATATTACGCCCCCCCCCCATCCTAACACACTGCCAATGACCTACAGCGCCGGCGGTCATTCGTAGGGAATGCACTGGCTTAACCACCCACACAACCTAACACGGACTTCATTAGGATCGCCGTCCCGAGTCCAGGGGAGTGATCAGGCCCCCTCGTCTATCTTCAAGTGAGATAGGTACCATTACTTTAAACACATACTCGCCTGCCTTGTAGTTACACCCATCCTGGCCAGGAGTTGGTTCAGACTTCCTTTCCTTTCCCAAAGGGTTCTTGGACTGGCCTTCAGTACTGTCGGCTCTGCTGCGAAGCCACAGCTGTCTCCTGGAGGAAACACACCCCCATGGCGCCTGGAGAATTGTTCAGAGATGGCTTACCAGCAGGTCCGAAGGGTCCAGCCGTCCTCAGCGAAATATCGCCTCACTCAAGCTTTTCCCGGCCAATGCACCAGAAAATGTTGTAGAAATCAAAGACTTGAATCAGCTCTTTCAGGAAAGGGACGTTTATTGCGCGCAGGTTCAGAGAGCCATCCTGGCTTAAACAGTCTGAACTCAGATTGTACATTGAAGACCATTTTTATAACCCTTTCTGGCGGGGGTTATTTTTAGGTCACATTACATTCTATAGGTCCTTATTCTAACATAGGAAAACTACTAGACAGATCTATAATCGATAGCTCCTCGTTTACATTGGAATGTTTTTAGCAATCAGCAATATATCAAGTGTTAAGCAATTTAGATAATCCATGTGACAGGCAGTTAGTAATATATCATGTGCAGAGCTGGGAACAGGATGTCTGGCCATCCTAAATTTAAGAGTTGTCTTGTAAGCAAAACAAACCTCTCTTTTACCCACATTTTTGTTGGGCCATCTGCTTTTTATACACATCCTTTGTCGGACCATCAGTATTTTTCCAGGTACCACTTTATCAGGAACATTATATTAATTTCAAATATGAAAATAAAATATGGATGTTAAAATTGAAAAGATAGCATATATTATCCCTTAGTGAAAAAGAACCAATGTTCCAGCCAAATCTACTGCTCTATGATTAACTGAAAAAAAAATTCAGTTTTATATCTGGTTTAGTATCTTCTTGATAAAAAAAGGAGATTGCTAACTACCAGAAATAGTTGTTAATTAAATGCCTGTTAAGAGTGATTTAACCAAAGCTTGAACTGTGGCCTTGTATATAACATTGTGCTTTTGTATATTTGCGTCTACATATTTCCTCATATCCTTAGAGTAAGGAACCAGAAAGTATGGGAATTGAGGAACTGGTTTTCCAAAGGTATGTGCATTTTACAATGATATGTGCTGGAACGGTAGTGTGGAAAGTTGTGGTAAGAACATGAATGAATGTGAAAAACTGTGGTCAAAACAAGAACAAGAAATTGGCTCAATTGCCATTATGACCCCAGAGGTCATGTACTTCTGTGTTTAAGGTATAAAAGAGTGGAACTGAAAAGGGATAAAACATTTCAGAAAGCATATAACTGACTTTTTCCTGTATTACCTGATACAAACCCAATATTGTCCTAATCCTACGAAGGCCTAAATACATGCTACCACTACATGGACATACCTCAACACAGCACATTAGCACATATCATGTATTCAATGTTGGTGTAATTTTTACAATGTAAATAGAGGTTTCCATAAATCAGACTTCCAGCCAGGTGCCCTTCAGATGTGTTGGGAAAGAAGGCTAACTTAAAATCATCTTCATTTTAACTATAGTATATATCCGTGGTGGCGAACCTATGGCATGTGTGCCACAGGTAGCACGCAGAGCCCTCTCTGTGGGTACGTGCACCGTCACCCCAGTCCTAGGCCTTCAGTCCCGTCCATGAGCAACCTGCATCAATACCCGCGCAGGGTAAGATTACCATGCCCACCCCCACCTCCCCGAGCATTTTTTACTAACCTACCTTTCAGCTGCATTCCGTTTCTCCATTCGCTTCTCAGCCTTCGCCGTCTTTCTGGGACTATAGGAAAAAAAAAGCTCCATCAGACTTTAACTTCTTGTGAGATCTCAAGAAGTTAGAAAGTCTGATGAAAGTTTTTTACCCATGGTCCCACAAACACACAATGAAAGCTGAGAAGCGAATGGAGAAACGGAATCAATCATTCAATCAATTCCAACTTCGCAATCTTTCACGAGAAATTGGAATTGATTGATTGACCTTCCCCCCCCCCAAAAAAAGCTTTCTTTGTTTCCTTGCACGTGGCGGCGGATTGCAAAGGAGCAATGGCACGGGGCTGGAAGTCAGGTAAGGAAAGAAAGGCAATTTCTGGGGGGAGTGAGGATTTCTTTCCTTAACTGCCCCACTTGTTCTGAGGCCACTTTCCGCTCAACCACATTGCTCTTGCCAATGGCCTGACTGCCCACTTCAGCGCCCTCCCTCCCTGAGCCTCCGGCGCTCCATCTGCAGCTTTGGTGGCTCTGTAAGGAGAGCTGTGAAATTCTCTTCTCTGTCAGAGAACTTCGCAACTCTGCCTACAGAGCCACCAAAGCTGTAGCTGAATGGGCAGATGAGGGGGGAACCTGCCCCACTTGTTCCATGGCCGAGCTGCATTGCAGCGGCATTGGACGCAATACTTGAAGTGGCAAACAGCCACGTTGCACCAAAACTGTCCGTTTGCCGCCTCCTGCCCACTGCCGCTGCCATGAGGCCACAGAACAAGCCAGGCGGTGGTAAGAAACTGGTATAGTGGTTCCTTACCTTCGCCCGGCTTGTTCCACGGCCTCACGGCAGTGGCATTGGGTGCGACGCATGAGACGGCAAATGGCTGTGGCCAGAGGCAAAGAGTTGTGTCACACCAAAACCTGTCGTTTGCCACCTCCTGCCCTATGCCGCTGCCATGAGGCTGCGGAACAAGCCGGGCAGCGGTAAGAAACCGGTATACCAGTTCCTTACCTCTGCCCGGCTTGTTCCGTGGAAGTTTTTTACCCATAGTTCCACGATGCGCGAGGTGGCAAACAGCTACATCACACTGAAACCGAGGGGCCAGCAGGCTGTGGCTACTGATGGACACAGTTGGCCCCAATGTGCTTGCTGTGTGTGGGTGCCGATGGTGTCAGGCAGCAGCTGCCCCTACCTCGCCTTGCCTTGCCCTGTGGCAATGGTACCCCTGCCCTGCCCCCTGCCTCACCTCACCTCACCCCGCAGGACGAGCCTCCTGCCCACCATCCCACCCACCAGAGGCTCTGCCTGGCCCCCACAGGCGTCCCTCCCCACGAGTAACATTGAGGTGGCCACGCCCATCCTGGCCACGCCCACCCAGTCTGCCATGACCACCACAGCCACACCCACCCAATGGGCCACACCCACCCGGCACCCGATGATACATAAGTGGGTTTTGGGTTGCAGTTTGGGCACTCAGTCTCTAAAAGGTTCGCCACCACTGGTATATATCCTTCAAATTCTCCATTCCAATACATAAATATTTTCTTAAAATCTTCTACTGTAATCTCATGTTTCTAAAAAGGTTCTTCTATTTGAAATTCCTAAACTTTATTTTCCCTCCCAACCTTTTAATCTCTTAATGGAAGAAGGGGATTTTCTCGACATTTGTCTCCTTCTAAATCAGTGTTTTTCAAACTTGACAACTTTAAGATGTGTGAGTTTCAACTCCCAGCATTCCTTACCCAGTATGCTGAGGTATTCTGGGAGTTGAAGCAGTAATGGATTTAGCCAGTTCGCACCAGTTCGACAGAACCGATAGCTAATTTTTTATTACCCAAGCCCAGAACGGACTTCTGGAAGTGGCATCCACACAGAGAACCGGTTGTTCACATATTTGAATCCCACCACTGAGTTGAAGTCCATACATCTTGTCAAGTTTGAAAAACATAGTTCTATATTGTTCAATTGAGGAAGCCTTCTTTGTTCCTTTTAGGCACATTATACTTAGTTATTATGGATTTACCTTTCTTTTCAGCCAAGAAGAAAATTCCAAGTTATCCTTTGAATTCAATCCCGTACTTGTATCAACCAGATGAAAATAAATACATATGTTTTATAATAAATGCATAAACCTGGAAGAATCCAGAATGATTTCAACAGCAAGCTTTTATTCTTTGCTTGTGACACAAGATATGTATCTTTGTTTTAGACAGCAGAAGTGGCCCTGGCCAACCTGAAAAATAAATACGAGAACGAGAAAGCCATGGTAACAGAAACAATGACTAAACTGCGCAACGAATTAAAAGCTTTGAAAGAAGATGCAGCAACCTTCTCATCCTTGAGAGCCATGTTTGCAACCAGGTACAAAAACTAACTGTCAAGACAGGAATTTAGCTTGTTAAGCAGGAGTTTAGGTTTGACTTGGCACGAAAAAAGAGGCAAAGACCAGTCTCTCTGAGTCACACTTCTTTTTTTCAGATCTGAAGAAAGGTGGGTCCTCCCATAAAACATACAATCCTTGGTCATCAGAATCCTGGACAACAAGATGGAGGGAAAAGGCACTGGAATTAGGGGTGCTGACTTACAAGCTCTTTAGGAGCAGTTTTTCTAGGACATTGTTTATGAGCTGTTTTATATTCCTAGCAGTTTTGAAGCCATTGTCTCAGCCAACTGTTCTCCAGGGGTTCAGGCAAGAGCTGATTTTAACTTTATCTGCAGAAAAATTCTCCAGAACAATCAGTTCATAATTATGTATTAGCTCTATATATCTGCATCCCTAAATAATTTGTCCATGAGATTCTGATCTGTTCATAGTATTAATTTGTGAAGGTACAGTAAAGTCAGTAAGCATGATTCCTTTCCCTCCTATTGTTCTTTAAAAAAAAAAGAATTGCTAATATGATGATGATGATGATGATGATGATAATACAGTTGGAAGGGACCTTGGAGGTCTTCTCGTCCAACCCCCTGCTCAGACAGGAAACTCTATACCAGGGATCCCCAACCACCGGTCCATGGATTGGTACCAGGCCGCAGCATGCAAGCAACCAGGCCATAAAAAAAAGCAAAGCCCCATTTGTGGGATGCAGGCAGCACACGAAATCAAGCCCCCTCCTGTGTGTGGAAAAACCTCTCTCCACATAATGATTCCTGGTGCTCAAAAGGTTGGAGACCTCTGCCCTACACCATTTCAGACAAATGGCTGTCCAGTCTCTTCTTAAAAACTTCCAATGTTGCAGAATTCACAACTTCTGGAGGCAGATTGTTCCACTGATTCATTGTTCTAACTGTCAGGAAATGTTTTCTTAATTCTAGGTTGCTTCCCTCTTTGATTAGTTTCCATCCATTGTTTTTTGTCCTGCCTTCAGGTGCTTTGGAGAATAGTTTGACTCCCTTTTCTTTGTGGCAGCCCCTGAGATATTGGAACATTGCTATCATGTCACTCCTAGTCCTTCTCTTCATTAAACTAGACATACCCAATTCCAGCAAGCATTCCTTATATGTTTTAGCCTCCAGTCCCCTAATCATCTTTGTTGCGCTTCTCTGTACTCTTTCTAAAGAGTCTCAGCATCTTTTTTCACATCGTGGTGAGCAAAACTGGATGTAGTATTCCAAGTGTGGCCCTTGCCAAGGCCACACTTATTTATTTAAAAGGATAAAAATGAGCATAACCTGGACTGGTGAAGCTGATAAGAAAAGAAATTGGGCTTCAAGATATATTGATGGGAAAAAAAACACTTAAGAATATACTGGCAATTGGAAATGATCCAAGAATTATTTTATTAAAGCTAACAAGTTACAAAGAGTCTCTGTTCTCCAGCTATCAAGAGAGAAGAACACCAATCAAACTCTTATAAAGAGTTGTAGAGATTTAAGTTGAGCGTACTACACATTTCACCATTGACCAATAATTATTTTAGCCCTGATAAGGAAGACAGATAAAGAGTACAAAGGAATCTGACTGTCCCTGTGTGAGAACACTTTATTATGTAGAATACTTAGCCTGTGGGAACCAATTAAGCTGATGGTTATTCTAATCTAACCCTCTCCCACTTTGAATAGGGGAAGTTGTAAACACACAGATAGGTGCATACAAACAATAAAGGTATCCTCCACAATATTTAAATTTTAGGATTTTGTAGTTTAGAAGGAAGGCAAAGCAGATGACTTTTTAAAAATCCTCTAAAATGTCAACTTTTTTTTAACCTGATACTTTATCAAATTAAACAAGTAATTTTTTTAAAAAAATATTGTTTTTCTTTTCTTGGTTCATTGTTAACTTTAAACAAGCTTTACAAACACCATGTGGCAGGTCATAAAAGAAGTCCCTGCACTTTGCTTTTAGTGAAAGGAAGTAATAAAAAAGGTAGATTAAGCTTCTAGAAGAAATCTTTCACTTACACTATTTAATACAATTTTCCAAAATCTGTTGATTCTGTACGTTGCATGTACAAAAGTACCATTCTTATTTCCCATTGGTTTTATTTTATAACCTCTTGCTTAAATTAGCCATTAAAACATTTGTAGAATTAAGTCTGAGCCATTGATAAATAATGGGGTCAGACTCCACTTAAATGTAGCATAATGTGATTTTCTAAAATTTGGCTTATACACAATATATATTTGGGTAAGCAAACAGAAAAAAAATTCAGTAAAATTACAGATTCTTCACTCAGTGACTGAAACTATAACCCAGCATTTGATTCTCTGGAAAAATGCTGTTTTGGTATCATGGATAATTTCTGTTTCAATTTGTAAGTGATCATTACATCAAGCATCAAGGTAATTTTTTAAAAAAAGAAATAGTCATCTTCCTACCCTAAAAACCGCCCGTGTAAATGTAGTAGCAGAAGTCACTTTCAAAGTAAGAAATATAGTCGCAGCAAAAGGAGAGTGCTGTCAGTAGATAGCTGGTCTATGAATACAATAAAACAGGGGTGTCAAACTCAATTTCATTGAGGGCCGCATCAGCATTGCGGTTGCCCTGGGGGGTGTGTGGCCAGGGTGGGTGCAGCCTACTGGGTGGGCGTGGATGGAGTGGGTGTGGCCTACTGGGTGGGCATGGCCAGCTCTACATCATTCGTGTCAAGGGGGCCTGTGGGGGCCTGGGCAGGAGTGGAACAGATCTGAGAGTCTCTGGCAGAAAGGGGTGGGACAAGGGCAGAGCCCATCAAGCTGGATATGTGAAGTAGGCGAGGGCCATTTGCTGGCCACTTCCAGGCGATGGTGCATTTCTTCATTCCTCACAAAGGGTGACACCTTCCCAGCATGCACCCAAGAGGTGGGGCTGATGCAGCAGGGGCTGGTTCCTCGCTGTTTCCAGACAGCCTTGTGGAGCTGAATGCATTTCAGCATAGATGGCCACCACAAAATTGTACATTGGTTCTCGGCCGGCCTGGGCCAGGGCCAAGGCAGCGGGGGCCGTTCCCTCACTGTTTCCAGGATGGCTTCACGGGCCACATGAAACCAGTCATAAATGGAAGGTTGCAAAGCTTTTTTTTTTTTACAAACAGTTGTTAAATGAGGCAATTGGTAATCAAGGACTATATTTTCTTTCAGTGGGTCTCCTGGAGTGCTCTGCTTTAGGCAGCACTTACTGTTATGGATTTGTGTCCCTACGTTATCCTTAGTTCAGTTGCTTTGGAAGAAGAATAGATAGAGTATATCCATGGTAAGATTAGCTGTGCCAGAAAGAACAAAAGCTGCTCTGGAATGTGTGGAGGTGTGAACAAGCCAGGGCAACACTCCTGATGAAAGGTCTAATTGTTTTAAAGAATTGCTGACAGTTGCCAGGTTTGCAACTTTAGCCTCTATGAAGCTCCTTTTTATCTTAAATCTGAAGTGCCTCAAAAGATCTTTGATGCTGCTGAAACCCAAAGGAATGACTTTTAGAATAGAACAGAATAGAATAGAATAACAGAGTTGGAAAGGACCTTGCAGGTCATCTAGTCCAACGCCCTGCCCAAGCAGGAGTCCCTACATCATTTCTGACAATCTCTTCTTGGAAGTGATGAAACACCAACAATATCTGAAGGCAGTCTGTTCCATTGGTTGATTCTTCTCACTGTCAGGACCCCTCTCCCCACTTAGAAAGTGTTGGTGCTGATGTCCACATGGTTCATGTATGCCAGGCATGTCAAACTCGCAACGTCATATGACATCGCATGACATATCGGGGCTTTCCCCCCATTGCTGGCAATGGTGTGGGCACGGTTTCGGTGTGACGCATCCGGCACATGGGTCGGCAGTTTGACATGCCTGATGTATGCAAAAGAAAAAAAAAAGGCTGACCAGGACAGCTTGACCTGTTCCTCTTTCCTTTTTTCCCTCCAGGTGTGATGAGTATGTCACCCAGTTGGATGAGATGCAGAGGCAATTGGCAGCTGCAGAGGATGAGAAAAACACCTTAAATTCTTTGCTGAGGATGGCTATCCAGCAAAAACTCGCCCTGACTCAACGCTTGGAAGACTTAGAGTTTGATCATGAGCAGTCCCGGCGGAGCAAAGGCAAACTTGGGAAAACCAAAATCGGCAGCCCTAAAGTAAGTGAGGAGGCATCAGCCACCGTGTCAACCATAGACACTTTCCTCCTGCATAGTCAGGGCCCACAACCACCAAACATACTGGTCAGCAGTGGCACTCAGAGGAAAAGGTATGCATGCAGTCCTATTTATAGTACAGTGCAGTGGCCTGACTTGATTTAAGGTCATCCACTGAATTGCAAATACATTATATATTTTATGAGAAGAGGTTGGGGATGGGGGGAAGAGAAGTAATGGCTTTTCAAACTGTAAACATGGGCTTTTAATTCCATCTGCCATGGTATTTTCTTGTCCCTTTTGATACGGTCATAGTTCATGTCTTCTTAGCATTTCAGCATATTCTGTATGTCTTGAATGCCTCTGTTTGAGATAGAGCTGAATACCTCAGATGCAGGGCTGAGCCTATGTTGAAAAAAAGCACATCTATCGAAAATGGAACATTCTAATAAACTTTGGTGCTAATATATTTCCCTCAGTGGGTGGAGGGTTTTCATTCCCATGTGCTTCTCAGTGTACGTGTCAAAAAAGCACAAAGAAAGAATGAACGTCTAAGACAAACTCATATTTGACAATCCTGCTAAAGGCCGTACCACTGTAAGAACCAATTCAAGTATGTCCCTGTAGATACAGTTCTGTTCGGTGTAACTTTTAACTACAATCATGTAAATATGTCTGGAAGTCTACCTTCTAAGGAAAGAACAGCGGGTAACCCACGACAATGTATTTATGATGATGATTTGTAGTAAATTTATGTTGCTGTGGAACTATGTTGATTCCTGGCAACATCCAAAAACCATCTCCAAGAGGTGGAGGGGCAGATGCCATCCTAGTGTGACAAGCGGCAGCAAGAATAGATTGTATTGAATGCATATGCTGGGACATCACAGTATTGACTTGGCTTGATTGATCACTCAAGTTGAATACCTATTTTTTTCCTCAGATATACAAAATCCTCCCTCCCCCGTAGCATTCTATTATGGGATGGCAGCAATTATAGAAGATATTAGCAATATTTTGGGTGATTTTTCAGGAGGGTGGGTGATGTGTGATGTGTAATTCCAGGGGTCATTGCTCAGTAATTAAAGTAAAAACTCTTTTGTTTCCGTATGTATTTTTTCTTGGATCTCCTGCAAGACAATTCTCACCTTCCCCTTGTGATCAGAGCCATTCCAGGACTTCAGGGACCTATCTACTGCCTTTATTAAGAGCCCCCCCAGATCACACCTCCACAGAGTCATTTCTTCTGAGGGGTCCCATTTCCATGAATGAATCCTTCCATGGGCACCGTCTCAGCAAGGAAAAAAGGTTAACCGAACCCATCCCAGGTAAACACTTTTTCCTTGGGTGCATGTAGTGCAAAATGATTAGCTTAAGTAGAAGGGGAATCCTCTCCAAATGCTCTACATGCTATCTTTAATTTGGACATATGCTCACCTCTTTAGAGATGAGCATCCTCAAAGTACTTTCCCAAAGCTTATTTTTGACTAAGCAGACGGAGGGTTTAATACAAAGTGTTTTTTACTTATTTAAATTTCTACTACACAAAAGATATAGTGGCTCATATTTCTCTCTAACCCAGTTGGTGAAGTGTTAGATCAATGTTTCTCAACTTTGGCAACTCTAAGGTATGTGGAATTCTAGGAGTTGAAGTCCACATATCTTAAAGTTGCTAAGGTTGAGAAACACTGAGTTAGTGATAAAAGCATCTCAATGAAATAAGCTTCCCTGGCCCTTCCCTCATTATGAACTAAGTAAATTGTAGACTTTCTAATCCATATTAAGCCACAGTTATGTGTTTTGCCTGGATTAAATAAAAATTAAGACAGTTTTTTTTTCTGAGTTCAGAGGTAAAAATGCTCTCTAGATAAATATTGAAGGCTGTCAACCATAGGAAGAATGACAGAAAAGATCTTCTGTCCCAACACTGATTCAGTTTGTAAAAATGGTTTATGAAATCTCATGTAATATGACCAGTGCTCATAATACTTTAGCCACTATCTTTTAAATTTCCTTTCTATAGGTCCGTCCGTGTATATAACATATTGGCAAAGCAAAAGAGAAATATAGCAAAAAGAAATCTTTTGCATACCTACACACTATACAAATAGAATACGATGGATATATTTTTATACAGAAAACAGTGTTTTCTCAAATTGCATTCTTTGGGAACATTTTGATAAGAATAAGTCCTTACTTTCCCTATGAATCATGATTTTAAAAATGCACATTGACAGAAGCTTAGGAAAGTACTGCACACACAAGGCAGAACCTAATCTATTACCTCTAAAAGAAGTATCTTTTTCTTGAAGTGATATTTGGAGGGCTTTGGCTGTTCTACACCTTTGATTTTCAAAAACCTTCTCCTACCGTAATAGAGTTTTAAGTTACCCATGTCAATCAGCTTTGCTAGTTCAAAGAGGGTGAAGTCTCAAAACATTAGTGTAAATATTCAAAAAAGCCATGGATTTATCTTCAGAAGTTACTGACTCGCAAACAAAATCTTTTTGTATATTTTTTTGCAATTCTTCCCAACCTGTAGCCATGATTTAAACTTACTTTAAAATGCCAGTGTGCTATGTTCATTATGGCCAAGATTATAATCCTAGTTTATTTCTAACTGGTTTTCAAGTCTTGACCCTTGCTAATTTGTAAAACTATGAGAATAGAGAAGATAAAAATAGAAAAAATGTTGCTTTGGCTAAATTGCTTTTTATTGCTTTTCTCACCCTCATTTCCTCCCTTTTCATTCTCCCTCAACCTTCAAGTTTCCCTGCTTAACCCTTTCCTTATCTAGCATTCTGGGAATGTCAGAATGCTCCTGCTTTTTTTTTTTTTTTTTTGATGTTGTTTTTCATAGAAAAAGACTATTGCTTTGAAAATGTAGATAATACTGATTTAGTGCAAAATGAAAAATTCTTAAAGGGAGCAAATGTTGATACCAAGCATTAATTACACATTGTTTAAGATGGTTAAATATTTTCCCAGACCGATTTAATATCAATGAAATTGGGATACCTCATCCTTTTTGATCTGGGGCACATTAATCAGTTAGATAAAATGCAATGAACATTTTCATAAAGTGACTGCCAGGCCAATCAGAAAATGAACAGCTGTCCACAGAAATATCTGTAGTGGTATGTAGATAGTCAAAATATAAAACAGACTTCTTTTTTCAACAGAATCAGGTTTTTTTAATAAAAAATGATTTAGATACAGAACATAAATAAAAGATAGGGCTGAAGTCTGATTTCTCTCCTTCCTCCGCAGAGCATAACAAATACCACTTTTGCAAAAGAGAACTTTGCAGTACTTAAACCACCCTCCTGCACAACTTTAAGTTGCTGTGTGGGAATGCTGAAAGGAAACATCTTATGATGCAAAGCTGTCCTGCTCCATCTTGGAACTCAATAGGAATTCACTTTGTAGTAAAACTACATTCTAAACTACTGTGTCTGATATGAAACTGTATAATATCAACTTGTTTGTTTTTCAACAGTCTCAAACAACCCAGGTTAAAAATTGTCTAAATATTTTGGAGACCATGAAGAACAAGGTTATAAATAGTTGTAGGTGCTTGTTTTATATTAAAGAAAAACCTTGCCATACATTTTTTTCAGTTCAAGGCATAGTTTGAGAGAATACTGTATGTGGAGCTCAAGAATAATTGGTTTAGAACAAAGATAGCTGTTATACTAAGTAGTAAACAGCTATCTTTGTTCTAAACCAATAAGTAAAATCTGAAAACTCATATTGGCATATTTTCTTAGACAGAGAACCTTGACACATTTCAACAAACTGCAGTGGTGTCTCTCATCCTTTGTATAACTTCCACATTTGAAAGGAAGCTCCTTCTCATTATTCTTGACTATTGATTACAGATTTATTATTACTATATTATGTTTTGTACTGTGTTTTATTTTGTACACTTCAAAGAATATGAGGCAGCTTGTAAATTTAAAAAAACTATAATCCAATATATAATTTTGTGGCTGGGATTATACTCCAGCAAAATTCCACAAGCATTACCTTTTTGAGCTAGTGAGTCAAACTTGGCTCCTGGTCTCTAAATGCAAACATCCATGTTGGTGATTTGGTTTTATGCAAGCAGTTTGCCATTGCCTTTAAAAAATAAAAAAACTTCTTACAGCTCTAGAGTTTCCTGGTGATTTCCCACCTCGTTTGACTGTACAGATAGTCCTCGACTTACAACAGTTCATTTAGTGACTATTCAAAATTACAACGGAACTAAAAAAAGTGATTTCTGACTATTTTTCACACTTATTACCATTCCAGCATCCCCATGGTCATGTGATTAAATAAATATTTATGATGGTTTCAGTGTCCAAAGGTCATGTGATTGATTATCTTTTGCAACCGTTTTACAAGCAAAGTCAACGGGAAAGCCAAATTCACTTAACAATCATGTTGCTATGTTAACAACTGCAGTGATTCACTTAACAATTGGAACAAAATTCACTTAACAAATGTTTTGCGTAGCAACAGAAATTTTGGGCTCAGTTGTGGTTGTAAGTCGAGGACTACCTATAATTAGTTTTTTCAAGATCAGCTAAGTACTGTCATTTGCTGTAACGTTCCAGAACCTACTACCTCTATAGGACCTAGCAGATACGTATCCCAAAAAACCCTTCTAAAAAGTCTCCCATAACTTTAGAAGCATCCAGGCAAAATGCTCTTTTATAACTAAAGTCCTAACTGAAAATTGGAAGGAAAACAAATCAGAAATTGGCCAGCACACCTTTTATGAGGTTATATGGCTGAGGTTCTAGTGAACAAGATAGGATGAAAACAAATGGCATGGCATTGTTCAAATTTAAACCACGGTATGATTTCATATCTAGTTGTGAGAGGCAATCAAAACAAATCATTGTTAATGTTACCTTGACAAAATCATCTCTCTTGTAGCTTGCTTATTACTTACAAGTTCCTCTCTTCTACCTCTCTAAAGTCGTGGCTCCAGTGCAACGTTTCCCAGTACGGGACATCTCTCATGAGGAACACTTGAAAGCCATTTTGATGGATTTGGCAACTAGGCCCAAAACATGTTACCAAATACAAGGTGGGGGTATTTTTAATTATATAAGTAATTCCACCACCACTAATAATTACTTTGTTGGATTGTGCTAAAGTTAGTCCCAAGATACTGTGTCTTTGGTGGAAATAGGTTGAACTGATATATTTTAAATGTTAAATGCAAGAGACTAATAGCCCAACACCCCTTTTCCAATTACTCTCTTGTAACTTCTTGTAGTCCATATTTTTGCTTTATTGTTCCACTCAAATGTAGAGAAGTTTGTTTGAATACCCTTTTAATGTTTCAAAGCAAAGTAACATAGAATAAAATGTTCCAGGGAAATATTATATATATATTATTTTTCTTTATAAAGGCAAATAAAGGGAAAACGGCCTTTTCCTTATTTCCATTAAATAATATTTCCATTAAAAATGCCTGTAGGAACAAAGAAAACGAAATACAGTGAGGGTTAGGATCTGTACTTCCAGAGACATAGAGAATTGAAAAGAACATCTTTTACAACACTGGCAGCACAATCTCAGAGACTGATTCATTTGGTTATTCTTCCTTTTCTAAATTACAAATACAAATATCAGCCAAGAAAAAAAAATTACAAATATGAAAGAAATAAGATTCTATTCCAGCATTTTTTAATCTTGGCAACTGTAAGATTTGTGGACTTCAACTCCCAGAATTCTCCAGCCAATATGGAAGTACTTAAATCCTGGGAATTGAGTTCACACATCTTAAAGTTGCTAGGGTTGCAATACACTGCTCTATTCAGCTACACTCTACACAGAGTAGATATGGGGAAGAAGCAGCAGCAACACCAACAGCTTTTCCTTCTTTCAGATTGAGGGGAGGACAATCTTTCCCCAAAAGAGTGCCTATTGCAGTAACTGGGGTCTATAGGTGTAAGATGACCTCATAGTCCCCATACAAGGGCTATGATGCTGAAAATACCCAGTATATATGCTCACAGTAAAGTCATACACATGAACTTCTGAGTTATTCCACTTTGTCTATCTCTTTATTAAGGCTGTTATCTTGAAAGCTCAGGATCTTCACCCTGTGTCCAGGCCTGATAAACCACACCACATAGGTGGAAAGGAGTAAGGCTTTTATTTGAAAATAAAAGGTTTCCCAGGAGGAAATTTCAAAGTGAGCACATATCTCTTTTTGGAGTTGTAAGGTTTTCCACTTAACCTCACAGACTTCTCTGCGCTACTCAGAAATTTCAAAGAGCCAAAAGAAACTCCTGAGCCGAGGTTCCAGCAAAGAAAACAACTTTATTTTGGCCAAGATAGAGTTGGGTAACTCTATCTTCTCCCTCTTTGTGGCTGTACACCCAGAAGAGATTTCTTCTACCTGTATACTCTTTCAGAACAAAGAGATCCAGGTCTCTGTACCAGGGGCAAGGAAGCACAGAAAAACAAATTCCAAGATGATGACTCATATACATCAATCCAAGTTCCAACCGTAACTCATTTCCTTCCCCCTCCTCCTTATTTCTTGGACCACTGGACCTTACCTTGCTTTTTCCATGTAAGCAATCTCCTGTATATTTGGCATGAGACATTGCTTTTTCAATATATATGAAACATTTGCTTTTATGTAAGTAATTTCCTGATATGAGGCACTTGTAAGGTTGCATATAAGCAAATTTATATAAAATGGCTACAAACTAACATTACTAATGTCAAACTTAAACATAATTAAATCATAAGCATAATGAAATCATAAGTAGAATAAGGTTCCTTCAAAGGCTTTTATCTTACAATAACATTCCTGAGCTAACAAACATTCCTAAGTAACTTGGTACCAGGCTGTTATCATCTTGACAAGCAGGCATTCCTAATTGCAAAGGAAGATGGGATGGTCTGGTTTCCCTCTAGTGCCATCATATACACCTAACAAGCAGATTAACCAGCGAAATAGGTACAAAATGCCACAGCTAAAGCTATGTATTAAATAATAAGCAATACATGAATTAAAATGATTTATCAATGCATAAATAAAATAGGTTAAAATGGGCTGTCTCCTTAAGGTCAATCAGATATATTAAGCTCAAACTATATATTACACTAAATTTGCTTTTAGAAAAAAGAGGCTTAACCAGGCCACATGTTTAATAGAAAAATACATGTACAGGAACTCCCTATAATTCTCCCCCCCCCTTTTTTTTTCAAAATTAACTCCAGTTATTACAACATACATTTTAAAGCGTATGTGACCTGTGCTTTGGCTCATATAGCTCAAAGCTACCGTATTTATACTGTGTATATTATTTAATCTGTTTTATATGGTTTTCTTGCAATGTATGGCTGTGAAAGTTGGACCATAAGAAAGGCTGAGCGCCAAAGAATTGAGGCCTTTGAACTATGATGCTGGAGAAGACTCCTGCGAGTCCCTTGGACTGCAAGGCGTTCAAACCGGTCAGTCCTAGAAGAGATCAACCCCGACTGCTCTTTAGAAGGCCAGATCCTGAAGTTGAAACTCAAATACTTTGGCCACCTAATGAGAAGGAAGGACTCACTGGAGAAGGGCCTATGCTGGGAAAGATTGAGGGCAATAGAAGAAGGGGACGACAGAGAATGAGATGGCTGGATGGAGTCACTGAAGCAGTAGGTGTGAACTTAAATGGACTCCAGAAAATGGTAGAGGGCAGGAAGACCTGGAGGAACGTTGTCCATGGGGTCGCGATGGGTTGGACACGATTTCGCAATTAACAACAACAACAAATATGGTTTTCAATGTGGAGACTCAGTTTGGTATAGTGGTTAAGGTGCTGACCTAGAAACCAGGAGACCATGAATTCTAGTCCTGACTTAGGCAAGAAAACCAGGTGGGTGACTTTGGGCCAGTTGCTTTCTTTCAGCTCAACTCAGTTAACAGGGTTAACCATCCATATTTGCAATAAATATAGCATTATTAGAGCTGGACGCTGAGAATGGCTCATTGAAGAAGAATTGATGCCTTTGAACTGTAGTGCTTGCGTATACCATGGACAGCTAGAGTAACTAACAGAGAGGTGTTAAATTGTATAAAACCCAAACACATCACTGGAAGATAAAATCATAAGACTACATCTGATTTACTTTGGCCATGTTAGGCTTGCAAATTCATTGGAGAAGGCAATGATGCTAAGAATGGTTAGTGGACAAAGAAGAAGAGGCAACAGGCTGGCTTGATAACATCAATTCTGATGCAAAGTTGATCATACAACAATTGAGAGAAGCTGTGCTTGACAGGGTAGTATGGAGAGCACTTGCCTATAAAGTCACCAAGAATTGGACATGATTAAATGGTTAAAAACAAAACGAAACATAGCATTCAGTGCACAGTGCTTAAAAGAGTTGGGAGTGAAAAAAAATTATAAACAGTGCTCACACAAGGAAAGGCAAGGAAGGACTGGATGAAGGGATGACCTTTACATTCCAAAATAAGTGCCTTGTAAATAGCAAAAAAAAAAAAAAAGTCCCTAGTCAAGTGGAATCATAGGGAAAGTCCACTTCTGTGTAGTTGATGGGTGAGATCTGCAGAGTCTGTACCAAGGGTATTAATAAGTGTCCAAATCTGTATAAAGCAAAAGAAGATTGTAGGCAGCTGAGGTACCATTGTTTAGAATCTTATTCATGCCAATAATAAGTGAAGGAAGAGGGGTGTCCTTGGTGCTCTCTGAGCTTGCTTGTTTTCTTGCAGATGTTTCACTGCACAAACTAGGTAACATTATCAGTGTTACCTACTTTGGGTAATGAAATGTCTGCAAGAAAACAAGCAAGCTCAGAGAGCACCAAAGACCCCTCATTTCAACCCTGAGTTACAAATGTTCTTTATTGATAAATGAATGGATTTAGTTTGAATTATACTTTTGAATTGCAGAAATGTGAAGAGCAGGCAAACATTGGAAAATATTTCCCCTTTAGGCTTCCACACCTTGAGAAAGCAAGACCTCCTGTGTTGGACGATGCTTACTTCTTGTAGGCGTGTTTCACATTTCAATCTTAGTTATTACACAAATGCATGGGAACCAGCATAGAGGGAATTAAACAACCAGATTTCACAGATTGTGAAAATAACAGCAGTGAATTAATATTCAGTGTAAGCATGAAAAAATGTAGGATCAAAGTATATTGATAATTTTTTTTAATCTTCTTAGTGCCATGATTTCTAAACAAAGATTAGATAGACTGCATGAAGTTTTAAAATATTGACTGGAATTTCTTGACTTCAACTAGAGGAACATCTGCTGCTTTGATAGTGGTGGGCAGGTGCCTTTCCCCATTTATGATTGTAGAACAGTATTTTAAATATATGTATAGCTTCCTAGTTAAAACTGTTGCCTCTTTCATTGCGGTTCATATGATAGAAGAGAATGTAAATAAGGCACACAGGCTTACCGTATTTAATGCAGTTATCATTTTCTTAAGCAGGAAGTGCTAAATGCATTTTTAAATGCAATTTAAACATCTTTACAAGAACATTTAAATTGCTTTGTACTTTATTAAATAAATACAGGTTTTGTTTCTCATGCTGTGAAAGAACAGCAATGTATTGAAGGAACTCATAGAACAAGCTAGTACAATTGAGCAGGGACATGGAAGGATTAATGCAGCTACTAAGTCAGTGAAGTAATATGTCTATGGCAGTGTTTCTCAACCTTGACAATTTTAAAGCATGTGGACTTCAACTTCCAGAATTCCACAGCCAGCAATGTTGGCTGTGGAATTCTAGGAGTTGAAGTCCACATGCCTTAAAATTGTCAAGGTTGAGAAACACTGGTCTATGGTGATTCTCAGTCATCCAGGTCATAGTTTTCCCAAAGATGCTTTTTCATGAGGCAACTGGACTTTCTTGTTTTTCTTTGAAGACATTTCGCTTTTCATCAAGAAGCTTCTTCAGCTCTGACTGGATGGTGGGGAATGGAAGGATTTATACTCCATGCAGGCAGCTGGTCATTTGCATCCTTTTAGTCACTGAGGCCACTTGGAGGTTAATCTATGTCATCAGGGTCACCTGAGTAGTACAAATGTGTGTGGTGCCAT